TAGGTTGGAAAGGGTGAGAAATCTCAAAATGGCAGTATTATAATGGAATACCAGCTGCAGACCACTCCTGTAGCTAAATATATTGGGTTTTCTACAGACCGTGGATCTAGAGGAGAATTCAGGGTTTGGAAAAAGAAAGGTACATAAAAAGAATAATCTCTTGCCGTTACACATAGTAAAATGTTTTCTGCTTAATCAAAACTAACTTTTATTTAGTTATCTGCACTGACAATCTCAACTATAAGAGGTTGGTAAGCACTGAGGAATCAGTTTTCAATGTTCCAGACAGTGGCAGCGTGTATCAGGAAGTGTTCCACTTGGGTATCCCACAGAACTATGTGCCTGGGTCAGAGAGGGCAGATGCCAAAATGATTGGTGAGTGAGGTTTGTTACAATTTTTTAAAGTAAATATATGACCAGCTATGCTGGTTAAATAGCATATGGTACATATGTTTAAAAAACTAAAACACAAATTTGGTCAACGAATCCTGTTTGCATGCATGCCACAGTTTGTTTAACAATCTATCACATTTGTCTGGCCTAATGCTGATTTTTTTTTTTTTTTTTTTTTTGTGTGATTCTTTTTATTTGAATTTTCTGAACAGGTGATGTAATGGGACCTACTTTGAGCAATCTTGACAAGCTACTCAGATTGCCATTTGGCTGTGGTGAGCAGAACATGGTGCATTTTGCCCCCAATGTGTTTGTTCTCAAGTATCTGGAGACAACAAAACAACTCACTGATAAGGTGAAGGAAAAGACACTGGACTATCTGATACAAGGTATGTAGAAAAAGTAAGAAATTAACTGCAAGATTTATTTGTGGAATTCTTCATTGAAATATTCTAATTTCACAGTTGAGCAAAAAATTTTCATAAAGAAATGATACTAAATGGTGGCCATATAATACAGAGTTTCTTATTGCACTTTTAGTGGCATTTTACAAGTATTTCTGTATACATGAGTGTATATTGAATAAACATGCAATTAGGTTTTCTGATGATGGTAAAATTGCCTGAATTTTCAGGAATATATTTTTAAAATTTTTGTTAGTATTTTTCCCAAGACTATGTTGAAACGAGTGTCTTATTTGTTATATATGCTTGCCACTTTTTTTTTTTTTTTTTTTTGTTAACAGATTTTGACAGGCATGTTTGCAGTTTATCTAATGTGTAATATCTTACTTTTGTCAGGATATCAGAGACAGCTGACTTATAAAAGATCAGATGGATCCTACAGTGCATTTGGGGATGGAGACTCTTCAGGCAGCATGTGGTAAGCAAAATGAAACTTTTTTCCCATTGGAGACCATGTTGCTTTATTTTTAATGGAGACAATTTAAAAGAATCGACTAGCACTTTTTGAATTTTACCATTATTAGGTAATCTTATCAAATTGATTAATATGCATGCATATGGTACAGTCCATCCATGATGCTGTTCCAGGCTAACAGCTTTTGTGTTGAAGTCCTTTGCCCAGTCCCGTTCCTTCATCTATGTTGACCCTAAGGAGATTACAGACAGCAAGGACTGGATAGTTTCCAAACAACAGAGAGATGGTTCCTTTCCTCCCATAGGGAGAGTGATGAACAAAGCTGTCCAAAGTGAATTGCAAGGCCCTATCACACTGACTGCATATGTTGTCACAGCACTGCTAGAGATAGGTGTAAAAACTAAGGTTAATGTTTTTATATGACACTTAATATTTTGCAAACTTATCAATTTTGATTTGATTTGATTTGAAACAAGTAGTTCAGATTAGATGCAATATTTAAACATCCTTATTGAAAAGTTTAATAATGTATTAAATTATTTTGCACCAATTCCTCAAAAGTCAATCTAGAATGTGTTAAAATTCTTGTTTTATGCTTAATTTCTTCATTACTTTATCACTGCATATTTTGCAATAGGAAGAGAAAATGTGCATCACATCTGCCAGAAGCTACCTTGAGACCAAAGTTCACCAAGTATCTGACCCCTACTCAACTGCCTTGTGTGCGTATGCCTTGACCCTACTGGGCAGTGACCATGTGGTCAACCCATTGAGGAAATTGGCTCAGATGGCCATTAAAAAAGGTATGGCGTAATCAAAAGAAACAAAATGTCCATGACATTTTAAGTCAACCAGCATGGGGAATATGATTGGTGAACAACAACAACAACAATAATAAGTATTCTGTGATAAGTTTTATCTGCAAAATAACACAATAATTGTCATTTCACAGTCTTAGAGGAAATTTAATCACCACTGTCACCTGGGATGATACAAACTAAGACAAGCATTCCTTGGGGGGGTCAATTCAAAATTTGTTTGTGTTTTTTAATAACATCTGGTGAAGCTGCAGCTGTTAATTAAGTAACATTGGAAACTTTATTAGATAAGAATTTCATCTAACTCTCTTATTTACAGATGGCCAAACATTTTGGAGGCTGGTAGGCAGATCAAGATTGGAAGACTTCTTCATGGCTTTGAATGATGACAATAGAGCAGGTATTTTAATTTGGGAATTTACAAATTTACCTCTGAGAAATATGGGAGATCTTTTTGTATTGCCATATTATAAGTAGCACACTTTAACATGCTAATAAATGCTAATAGTATAGTTTAAGTTTAAAGATGAGATTTTTCTATCTGACAGAGCAGAACATTTTTTTTTTAAAATTTATGAGACTGTTCAGAATGACCCTTTTAGTACTATGGAGAATGTGCACTAATTCCAAGGGGACTCTTGCTGAATGTAATCAGATTAACAAACTAACACTCCTTTTCCTTCCAATGTACTCTTATAATCACCAACTTTTCTTTATTCTACTTAACGCCAGGAGGAGGCGTGTTAAATTAGTCTGTTAATCTGATTGCATTCAGCAAGAGTCCCCGTGGAGGTAGTGCGCATTAGTTAAGTCAACATAATTGATTCTGAATGGTCCCTTTGTTCGGATTTGCTTCACAAAGATTGCTTTTCAGCTCAAGTCATTTTCATCTTTCAATATATAGACTCCGTTCACATGAGAAATCTATTTTCTAAAAATCTATTTTCTATTTGCGGTATCTTGTGATCACTCCGAGCGCAGCCAAGAATTAATTACAGCTTTGGAAGTAACTGGCTCGCGCTGCCAGTAATTACGCCGCAGGGTATTCAGGGCACAGACCGTGATCACAAGATACCGCGAATAGAAAATAGATTTTTAGAAAATAGACTTGTCATGTGAACGGAGCCATATACACACAACCTCAACATTGGTTTCATTCTTTCAGTGTCATCTGCAGAAATTGAGATGGCTTCTTATGCCTTGTTGACATACACAGCCCAGGGAGACATTGCTACGGCTCTCCCCATTGTGAAGTGGCTTTCCAGGCAGAGGAACTCACTGGGAGGATTCTCTTCAACACAGGTAATATTTGGGTGTTTATTAACTTTAACATTATAGAGTCTTTATTTGAAAATACTTCATGAGATTTAAGTTGACACTCCATAACTATTTTTCAGATTACATAGCCCATTTAAAAGATTATATTATTGATAGCCTTTATTGTATTACCAAAAGTAATCTGCACATTTGACATACTTGCTGTCTAGTATTGAATAGAACATTATGTATAATAACTTGTTTCAGGACACCTGTGTTGCTCTTCAAGCCCTGTCAGAGTATGCCACGCTTGCCTACACCGGGAAAGTCAACCTCACCATATCTATGGCTTCTACGAACATGGATCTGCCTGAGACCAAGTTGACATTACACGAAGAGAACAGCGAGATACTGCAGACAGCTAGAATTCCTAGTATTCCCACTGGTTTGTTTGTTAGTGCTGTGGGAGAGGGGTGTGCATTATTACAGGTTAGTAAAACAGAAGTGTCTGTCATTAAAAGCCAGTGATCATGGGTAGAAATGAAATGCCTGAAAAGGTTTAATCGAAGATATTATACCTTATTAGATATGAATGAATTAAGATATGTCATTCAGTAAAATTGTTATTATTATTTGAAAGCAAAAAGCTATTGTCACTAGACAGTGATATGGTGCTCCTTCAGTAAACCTTTTGTAATGCCTTTTTAAAAGTTTATTGGAATAATTAGATAAAAACTTAAATTTTTGCTCTGAGTTTTAGTGACCATTTTTGAAATGTTACCTCATAGATTGTCATAATTTTCTACCTAAGTACACACATAATTTTCGTCTAGATTGATGTCAGATACAACATCCCTGACCCAAGCCAAAGACCTTCATTCAAGTTACACCTTAGGGTATCAGAGGACAAATCCACCAATGAAGTAGTGCAGCAAAGAAGAAACCACAAGAGGTCTATTCCAGCAAGTCATGTTACTGGGGAAATGAAGGTTAACATTGAAGCATGTACCAAGTGAGTTCTGACAACTGTACAGTATTAAAAACAAATTTGAGGTTCATTGATAATAACTTTTTTATATTTGCTTACTAGTATTAATCCTGATGGTAGCTATTATCAGTTCAGGAATGTCAATTTTTCATCCATTTTAAACCACTGACTCTTCATACCAATTAGCCTTGACAGTGTTCGTATCTACCTGTATGTTTATTCTCTCTAAGACTTAAGTTTCCATTTTTATACTGATATACTAACACTTCATGCTTGGTTTTTCTTTTTTTTTCTATGTTTTTTTTTTCAAGGTGGCTGCATGCAGGCAGTTCAAATATGGCCGTGGTGGAGGCATCTCTGTTAACAGGTTTTACTCCAGAAAGAGAAAGCTTGGAAAAGCTACTTAATCACCAACATTTGAGACTCAAAAGATATGAAATAGATGGAAGGAAAGTTTTGTTTTACTTTGATGAGGTAGGAATTAAAAAAAAAACATAAAGAAGCAGTAAAATTTTGAAATATACACTTGATATATAATTTTTTGATGCACCATTTATCTTAGAAATATGCTGCTTTTTCCAAAATTCACTTTAATTTTAAAGATATTTCATATTTAATATCACTGACCACATATTACAAATGAACAAAACAGATTCTTGGCTGTGAGCAGTACTTATACAATAAAAAAACCTGTAAAAAATTCATAACTTGATAACATTTTTCCATGATGGAAGCATTGCCTAGCAAAAATATCAGAGGTTTGGCATTGACTGACAGAGGACTTTGCCTTTTTTTTCTTTAGATTCCCAACAGTTGCTGGACTTGTATCAACTTTGAGGCCTACAGGTCACAGGTAGTGGGCAAGACAAGACCAGCACCAGTCAGAGTGTATGACTACTATGAACCTGGTAAGGAGGGAGCAGGATATGACCCCTCTCTCCCCCCCCCCCCTTGTGAACATTCTTGTGAACATTCTTATCTCATGAATGTATGGTCTTTTGCCACACTAAAATATTTTCATATTAAATAATCATTGATGAACATTTAAGTACTGTCAACCTCTGTATTCAGAAATGTAAGCTACACTAAGTTCCTTCAAATCAGCTGAATTATTTGCAAGAACCAGAAACTCTGTGCATAATATTTAGGGAATTTACATTTAAAATCAACCATCAACTTTTTAAAGATGTGGTGTGTTAAATTAAGTAAGATATACCTGGCCAAGGAAGTAAATGTCTACTTCCTTGGTATGACAATATTTCAGTATTGTAGAATTTGTGATTGAAAATAATATTCTATCCAATGTGTTGTTCTTAAATATTATTATGTTTTTAGCCTACGAATCAACAGTGTTCTATAGTGGCAAGCACTTAGGTGTCGTTGCAAGAGAACTATGTGAGGGAGATTCATGTAACGAGATTTCTGAGGAAGAGGAGGAACAAGGTAAGAATTGACAGTGCATTGTTATCATTATTATATATGAAATGCAGTGATGCCTTGCTTGAGGAGTCTCAGAAAACTGCATAATTTGTGATCAAGGAATGTTTAAAAACGTTTAAGATAAGTCAGTGACATAATTTATGCAATAAACGAAATGTGACAAAATCAGCACCTGTTATGGGGTAACTTTTTCTTAAAATAAAAAAGATAAAAAATCAAAATTCACTGATTTAAACTGGGCAAAGAGAATCATTTTTTAACTCGTAATAGGAGAAAAGCATAGCTATCCTGCAACATTTGTTGAGGGGGTTAAAATTTTTCTAATGTTCTACAATGTTCGTTCCAGTGGGTATCCTTTTCTTATTTTATTATTGAGACCACAAAGATTACAAAATAATTATTTTAAAAACATATGCTTATATATCTACAGTACAAGATGAAGACTGCAACTCAGTATTCGGCTGCTACCACAGCAGTATCAAAGAGGAGGACAGGTGTTCTTGCTACAGGGACTGTCGTCACTCTGGCCCCAGGGTGTGTGGGTCAGATGGGGTCCTCTACCCCAACAAGTGCAGAATGGAGGTGGAGGCCTGTAGCCAAGGAGTGCACATTGAAGCTGTGCCTCTGATGAACTGTGATGGGATGAAACAAGGTGTTTTCTCTCTCTATCTTCTTTTTTTAATTATAAATGGAAAGTTTGCATTTCAGTGCCCTGTTTATAACATCTTGAGTTAAAATAGAATAAAAGAAATTGTTCTATTTAGATTTCGAAACATTGATAAATTGTGTAATAAGTGGTAACATTCAGTTAATCAAAATTTAACACATAACTTGCAGCTCATCATAAAGCATTTGCAAGTTAAAACAATTTGTATTTCTTTTTCCTACAGTAACGGACCTTCCCCAGACCACTGCTTCTTCCCACAATTCCTCTAAGGTGGATATTGTTAAGAGACCCGGGGAGGTATCCCAGGTTGATGCTGGGTCAGGTGAAATGGAGGGTTCTGGGGACGTGGCTCAGGTCACCAGCAACTCGAAAACTATAGTGGCTGCCACCACAAAGCCTCTTCAAGGTATGTCCTAATTGAGGTCATGTTAAGTTAACTATTTTTTAATTGGTATAAATGAAAGCAATAAAATATATAATGTCTAATGATCTTTTTGGCCTATATCAATAAAAGAACTTATGTTTAAAGTTTCATTTTAATTTTTTTTACTGTGGAACACCAAAAATTGGTTGCATGAACTACCAGATATTAGATCATGGAGTTCTTGCATTATGTATGAAGCCATGTTACATTATATTTGCACTTCTTTTCTAAAATAATGTCAATGAAACTAGAAAAAAATCCATTTTCATCATTTTTGAATAACCATAAATGTAACATTTTTTCAGATCAACTCCAGGAAGTCAAACCAGGTGAGGAGGATTATGCTTACTATGATGACTATTATGGACGCCCTGATGAAATACCAGCAGTGAGTAACAAAGTTTGGGTTTTATGTTTGCATTCATTGCATGTTCAGAATAGTTAACTGGAACATAATTCTCCAACAGACCTAACCAGACAAGCCAGTTAAGACATCAAGCAAGAAACTGTGCTATGAATGGCATACACATCTTTCTTTCTTTACCTTTTTTTTTGACAGGATGATCAGTATCAGTACATTTTTCCTGAGCCTGTGGACCCTAGGAGAGACATTTGGAGACAAGGTCTGGTTGATCTCAGATTACATGAGGATGCCTCAGCTTCAAAAGTGAAAGGCAAAGATGCTGATAGTGTGGATGAGGTCACTGACACAATTCAAACTGAGACAAGCGAGAATGACTCTCCTGGTGAAATAGCTCACAGAATTCAGACTGCTGCAGAGAACAATACTGAAGGGCAGCAGATGCAAGGTCCAATTTCACATCATATTTCTACATCACACAGCCCTCTAGAGGCAACAACAGAAGCATCGGTGGACGTGAGAAACCAGTCATTGGTGGCAAAACCCCAGATCAAGTTCATGCCACCACTATATATCAAAGACAGTCCCCAGGTTGTGTTCAAATCCAGAGAATCAGAGGTCACAGACACCAATAAGGAGGATGAACAAGGAGGATAAGTACATGTCCTCAGATCAAACAGTTAGGCTGTGAATGAGAGGGTGAACAAAGGATAGAGTTGCAGACAACAAAGAGTCAGAAAAAAAGTGCTAAACTGATATAATACCTCACTTTATGTTATTGAAGAAATGCTATGTAAATATGTCCGTTTTTTCCTATTTTATGCATATCTTTTTTGTTATAAACATGATTTAAGACACTGCATGGAGGTTTCATATGGCAAGCTGGGTGTTTGAGTCCACTGATAATTTAGTTTTTCTGTAATATCATCCAACCCAGAGAGAGAATTAAAACGTACATTTAAGGTTGTTAAGTTTTTGATTGGATTTTTGGTGAAATGTAACTGAAGACTTTACAAGTCAAAATAAGTCAATTTTGATTCAGAAAGTTTAAATAATCAATTTCCATTTGTCAGAAGAAAATGTAAATGAAATGCAGAGAATGATAACCATGGTTATTTTTTATTTTCCAGACATTATTCCTCAAGTAAGTCACATCACAACCAATCCTTACATGCTAATTGAAAGCAAATATGACTACCTCACTGTCTGTAACCAAGTATATAAGTTTTGTTAAAAGCGATCACACATCAAGGGATACTTTACACACAAAGAAATAATAAAATGAATGGTTCATAAATAGTTTCCATTCAGAAATCTAGTTTGCATATCAGCTGGTCGATGCACATTTGTTACATAATCCTAGTTCAATTGCATAAGATCGATTTTGTACTACGAAAATACAAACAGACAACCATGCAATTAAGGCTCAGAACAATTATTTGACATTACATACAATTCATATTTAACAAAAATGTCACTCCATTACCATGGTGGCAATAAATTAAGTCTGATTCAATATGGAATGTGAACTCAATTTGCTGAGTGGCATTCTCTTACATAATTTTTCAAACACTTCATAATTGACTAGCATTCTTTTAAATGCAAATTTCTAAAAAGAAATGTGTTTATGGGTATGACAGTTCATGATATAATTTTTTATTGAGACCCCTTATCCTTGGCATATATTGAACAGATGACATCATTTCATGTGTTTAAATGTCTACTTTCATAATGACCAGAGTGCACTTCAGGGGTTTGAAATATATCTTTCATAACAAAATACACAGTATTTTGGACATATTTTGAAAGTTTACCTTTAACAAAAAAAGCCCAAAAGAAACTAACATTGCACAGTTCTAGTTAAAA